AAGAAAGACAGCCACCTCGCCATTCGTTGCGAGTAGTGGGGCCTGTTTACGGCCGTGCGTAGTGACGCACGGTCCGTAAAAACGATAAACGGTCTATCTCCACGAGATAGACGCGAAACTTAGCCAGTGCGTACTTCATGGCAAGGAGTTCCTTGTCATGCACTGGGTAATTGCGTTTAGCTGGTTGCAGCTGACGCGACTGATAACAGATGACGCGCTCTGCGCCATCTGCGTCAAATTGCATCAACGCACAGCCGATCGCAAAACTGCTGGCGTCACAGACCACATGAAATGGTCTGTCCTGATCTGCAATCGCCAATATCGGCGACTGCATATAGCTTTGCTTTATAACTTCGAAGGAACGCTGACACTCAGCGTTCCATGACCACTTGACATTTTCTTGAGTAAGCAAGAAAGATGAACAGTCATCTCGGCGTAGTTGCGAGAGTACTTGAGCAAGTACGCCGCTAGCCCAAGGAACTTCCTTAGCCCCTTGACATCGACTGGCACTGGCCAGTCGGTGATCGCCTTGATCTTTTCGGGATCAGGGCGTACGCCGTGTTTATCCACGATGCACCCAAGAAGTGGTATTTCGCTAGCCGCGAATATACACTTCTTGAGGTTTGCGTACAACTTATGCTTGCGCATAAGTTGAAGGACTTGACGAACGTGAGTTCTGTGAACTTGAACGTCTGTCTTAATGTCCATAGCCCGTCTATGGACGAACACATCGTCGAAGTAACTCGGTGCAAAGTCTCGCACCGGTCTCAACAGATTCGTAACACATCTGTTGAAAGTAGCAGGGGCATTACTCAGCCCCTGTGGCATCACTAGCCACTCCCACAGCATACCGCTGGGGGTGCTCACTGCCGTGTACGGGATGTCCCGTTCACGCATGAGGATCTGATAGAACCCATCCATCAGATCCATGAAAAAAAGATGGTACTCTTTGACATACCATCGATGATTACGTCCTTCCTCGGTATCGGCGTCGGAGCCGGTACCGTTGCAGCGTTCCAACTTGTTGAACGCGTGCACTATCCGCCATCCTCCTGTGGCCTTTCGCACACAGAAGGTCGGAGAGCTGTGAGAAGAAGTTTATTCCCTCAATGAACCACGGACAAGCGACCGGTAAAGAGCTTATCGATCGCTAGTACTTGTTCACGAGGCAGTGGTCACTGCTTCATGACACAGTACTTCAAGCCCGGTTTGAGATCGATCTCGTGCCGAGTGCCTTTGTCATTAGGCAACTCGCAAGGCACGAATTCAAGGAACATATCCTTGAATTCGATCAAATCCTTATACAAAGGATTTGCCTGAAGCGACTCCCAGGATTGAGACGTGTATCGTTCAGTCCGAGTCTTCTCATCGAGGACACTTTCGTCCATCGATGAGCTGCTGAGAACCCGTTCGTTCTCAGCAAATACTGTGGCCGACCGAATATCGGCCACATACTCATCCTCTGTGACGAGTATGCAGATCTGCTTGTTTCGACACTACGCAGATCACGCAAGAACCGTTTCGGTTTTATCGTTGGAATTAAGTTATCTCCGAAGTTAACTTTGGAGGCACAATCAGATCAAGCGTATAAGCGCCTACGCTTGATCCGTCATTAACCAAGACGTTCAACGTCTCGGTTCCTTCCTGGGAACTTCGTTTCACAGGTTGATGAGGGCCTAATCCCTAAGTAATTAACTCTTGGGGAAGTCCTTCCTCAAGTACGTGGGGACTTATTCCCTCTACGTCTTCTGACTGTGGCTGTGCAACCACAGTCAGGTACCGATCATCTACGGTCGATTCTCCAGTCGACCTAGAATATCCGTGTTGCCGCTTGTGGGAAACCGGTTTACTCTTGCTAGGATGTCGCCCGCTAGACATACGTCCATGCCCCGGTCCACTCGACTTATTCGAGTGGTGGACCTTCAGCGCTGCCTTTACATCTGTACAGTCGCCGGGACCTTGATCGAAAGTGTAGCGATCAGCTACACTGAGGTCTTGTTTAGTCGTGCAAACGACCGTACCACGAGTGAGGCCATCGCACTCACTCGTAGTACACCCACATGAATTTGAGCAATTAGAGATACTCTTCAGATCGTCATCTGATGAAAAGTGGCAGGCATCGATACTGATCGATGCTGGCGGCTCACCATTGGCTCGTATCTCCTGAGCGAAGGTAGTCCCAGGATGACATCAAACTTGTCATCTATATCGAGCACGATGCAGTCATCATCGTACTGTTCATATTTTAACGTGTAGTGGATTCCAAATACACGTTTCTCCACAGTGATCGATACGCCTGTCGCAAGGCGCACCGTCATTCTCGTTGGAGAAATCTCCCGGTCCACGAAGTTGATACTCCCAGCATCTAGTGACTGGCGACGAACAAAGTTGCTCAACACCCCACAGTTTACTAGGGCGCGAAGTGATAAGGCCTTTGTCACTTCCAATGTCAAGGCGATGAGGTAAACTTCATCACCAGGCGCACAGACACACAGTGAATGTGTGTCGGGAGCAACCTTCGTCAAGAGATTTGAAAAATCTCTCGATGTTGCTGGATCAGTAGGGTCCTCCGCCCCTACTGACCACGACCAAATGTTGACGGTCCACTTCTCTGTTGCGGCTTTGCAACAGCATTAGACCCTCGTCCTCCATTTCTTTTAACTAAGGACGGTCAATGCGCTCAGAACCAAGGGATTATGAGCGAGGAATACTGCATTCGTGTGCATGGTGTCCCAGTTTGTGACAGCGATGGCATCTCACCATTCGCTTGTCATTCACAGGCCGAGGTTTGTCTCCCTTAACATTACAGGTGTCCATTGGTTCTGGGCCTCCGACCGCTGATCCTCTTTGTGGACGAAAGGGGTCAGCGTAGTGTGAGCCTGTCTCAATCTAAAGTCTTCCTGCTTTGCAGCGTAAATCGCTTCGGAGAGCGTCTTTAGCTCCCCGCGAAACATGTGGTCCCTGACAGGACCATCTGCAAGACCTTGAATGAATATTGTGATCAACACAAATTCACTCACAAGGTTCACTACTATGTAACTTGCAAGGTAGCGCACATGCTGAGCGTAAGCGTGAACCTTACGCGAACCCTGTTTGATTCCGAGGAGTTCAGATAGTGTCCTGAACTCTGCCCTGGGAGGCTCAAACGTCTCGCTGAGCAGGATCTTGAAGACGTCTAACGACTTGAACACGTTCTGGTCGTGTAACTTGAGATTCAGGGCCCAATTCCTGGCGTCCCCTGCCAAGTAGGACTGAGCGAATGCTAGTCGCATTCGCTCGCTGTCGATGCGACGGGCCTCGATGGCACCGTCGACCTCGACGAACCATCTTAACAGGAAGTCTTCCTCGACTCCCCGATGCTTCGATATCTCTAACTTTAGACTCCCGTCGACGCTCACGCGTCGGCTCTGCGGACTGAGACTGATGCTGTCTCAGTTCTTCCGTCCGCTGGTGATTTTGTTGTTGTAACAAGGTCACCTGCGCTCGCGACACGTCAAGTTCTCGCTGCAAGAACGTGCTAATGACGGAATACTGCTGGTCTTTATCCCTTGTGGATAGCATGGCCCAGATAGCTTCCTCGCCAACGGCCGAGCTCATTCGTTCGATCGCACTCCATTCGATGTCGCTCAAATGGGAGTAGCTTTCACGAGTTCCGTGGAATCTGTCGCCTTCGCCTTCGTCCAACATGTTCATGTTGGGCGGTGCGAGTGTGGTCCTTGGACGGACTACAAAGTGCTACCAGGCGTAACGGGGCACCGACGACTACGTACTGGCCAACGAGTACGGAGTTTACTATCACTGACAACGGTGACAGTCAGTGCCCAGCTAGGTGTAGAACTACATAGAGGAAGGAAAGGAGACTAAGTAGTCAGACTAGTCTCTGGTAAAGGTAAAACTGTATTATTATAATTAAGTCCTATAACTCCTTGAATCTCTGTTGTCCTGACTTAATTATACTAATATAACTAAATGTATGATGACGTCTACTTACCACCCATTGCGCGCGTCTAGCAGCGATTGGTGGGTTGATATCATTACGATATCAACCAATGAGTAGACCATTCGGTCATCTCAACAATATCACCATGCTCTGTGATATTGTTGAAAACTATTCAGCGCGATATCTAACGTGATATCATCCTTAGTGACAATATCATGTAACGGGCTACCCCATTACATCGGGAGCGCAATTATGCTGGACCTATATCGTTTCCCAATGGTCGAGATCACTCATCACCGAAGGTCAGCTCCATCGGTCCAAGCAAGCGGCTTTGTCCAGACAGGCCGTCGAACTCCTTACATGAGGACGAGCGGACACTACGCGTCGTTTGCCCGGCAACGCTGATAGCGTCGGCCGCATATGGAAACAGATCTGGTGGATTGCGTGTTCGGTCTGCGTCATTACGCTTTGCAGTCAGAGGAATCGAAGTGTCCACAATCAGGACAGCATGACGCCGAAACAGGGTGTCGCCGAAGTGCGGTCCATCCTTGTACAACAATTGCGCGCTGTAGCGATTAGGACACAACGGCATGGCGGAAATCGAGCTGCTGGCTCCTTCTTTCAACCGGCAGCGACATTGTTCCTGGACACCGTCGCACATCGGACGTGGCACTTGGAGACCCTCTCTTGCCGCCCCGGTCACCCTACTGGGGTCCTAGAGAGGTTGAGGTTATTGCAGCAATCTCGTACGCCTTAAGGGATAATCGACAGACTGTTTCTCTCTCTCTCACACACACACACAGTATAAGTCCCAAATGCCCGTCACGAGCACATGTCGCACGAATTGTCGTCCGTCGTCGGGTCGTGTGGTGGTGGACCATGTGGTCCACACCCACCACACGTCCACAGTGTGACGCACCTACCGCGACGCTCGCCACCAGCCACTCCGTTTGTAGCCATTCACCCGCGTTGTCCGTCATCCGACCACCGAACAAGTCGTGTAGCATCTCACCGTCCACCGGTCTTCTCTCTCTCTCTCTCTCTCTCTCTCTCTCTCTCGATGCCTCGAAAAGGCGGCAAACGCGTACGGTGCCCAACTCGATCGCATTCCCAAGTGGCAGTCGCCACCGGTCCGTACGTCATTGCAGCTACTAACCCCATTGTGCTTGTGCGTCTTGTGATGGCTCTAGCGAAAGACCCGCACGCATGTGGTCGAAGGGCCGTCGAGTGCCAACGATGACACGCCCCTGAGCTTTGTGTTCAAGATGGGCAAAGTCCCGGCCGTCGTAAGCGCGTTGGTGCAGGACCTGCGGTGCGTGATGGCGCCCTACACGGCCGAGAAGCTGCGCGAGAAGCGCAAGAACACGCTCAAGGACTTTGTGCACGTGGGGGCGCCGCTCGGGATCACGCACTTTATCTTCTTGACGCACACGGACGCGGGCACGAACCTCAAGATTGCGCGCATCCCACGTGGCCCCACGCTGTCGTTTCAAGTGACACAGTACTCGCTCATGAGTCAGCTGCATCTGGTCGTGCGGCGGCCTGTGGACGCCTCGCAAGCGCTCAAGTCGACGCCTCTGGTCGTGCTGAATAACTTTACAGCGCCGGACGACCACATGAAGCTCTTGAACGTCACGTTCACCAACATGTTCCCAGCCATTGACGTGCAGACCGTTGCGCTCGGCGACTGCCGCCGCGTCGTGCTGTTCAACTACGACCACGAGACGGACGCTGTTGAGTTTCGTCAGTATGTGATTCGCGCTGCGCCGCTCGGGCTCTCCAAGAGCGTCAAGACCATTGTCAAGGCCAAAGTGCCCAACCTGAACAAGCTCGAGGACATTAGTGAGTACGTCCTCGGCAATGGCGCAGGCATTGGCTCGGCGTCCGACAGCGAAGTGGACGACGAGGCAGCGCACGTGACGCTGCCCGACTCGTTTCGCGGGCGCGGGAACCGCCGCGCGGAGAAAAGTGCCGTGCGCTTGACCGAGATCGGGCCGCGGCTGACGCTGCGCCTCACGAAAGTCGAGCGGGGCATTTGCGATGGCGACGTGCTGTACCACGCGTTCAAGACCAAGACGCCGGAAGCAGCGGCCATGGCGAAAGCCAAGCACGAAGCAGCGCGCACGCTCAAGCAGCAGCGCCGGGACGACCAGGCGTCGAACGTGGCCAAGAAGCAGGAGGTGAAGGACGCCAAGAAGCAGCGCAAAGCCGACCGCAAGCGCAAGCGGGAACAGAGTGGCGATGACGACGACGATGGGTACGACGAGACCACTGCAACGACTGGTGGGGAGCCGCACCACAACGAGTCCGAACCCGACGACGTCGACTATTACCGCCAAGAAGTGGGCGAAGAACCCGACACGTACATGTTCCCTGACCAGAAGAAGCCGAGAGGCAGGAAACCGGCACTTGGTACGACCAGCGCCAAAGCGGGTCAAAAGCCGTCCGAAGTCGCTGCCTCCGACAAGAAGCGCCGCTTCTTGCGACCTGGTGCCAAAGCGCCAAAGGGCCAACTTATTCGCCAGCGCCAGCCCAAGAAGTAGAGCTCGGCATCGGTCAATAGAGCAGCATCAGTAGCTGCTGGATCCGTCTGTGTACCCGTTCTGTGCAATGGCAATGGCAATGGCTGTCGTCTTCCTGCCGGACGTCCCAGCGCACTTCTCGATGCAGTCGGCTCCTTCGCGCTTTTCATTGTTTTCAAACGAGTTTACAGATCTTGTCATGACACTACGACGACTCGGCAATGCCCTGTTACAGCTCCTTCGACACACAGACTAACCTATACCAGTCTGGAGGATCCAGTAACGCAAGTGAGGAAGAGTGGGCGCACGCGCGCACGCGCGACACACACACAAACCATATACACAGCGCGCACTCACCGTCTGCCCGGGGGCGGCTGGAGCGACGGATGCTGGTGCTGCTTCGGGTCGCTCATTGGAATTGGAAAGCGGTCGCGACGTCCGCCCTGCGAAAGGCCTCCGGGACCGCCCAAGTTCTTTGGATTCAACCCAGCGAGACGCTGCGGTGGGGCCTGCAGTTTCCGGTCACCGCTGTCCATCGCGTAGCGCATGCCCCCGAGCTTGCTCTCATCTTTGATAGACCGGCCAGGCATCCCGCGACGACCGTCTTGCTGCATGTGCACAGCTTGCGCGTGTTGCTGCTGTGCCTGCATCTGCGCTTGCATTTGCGCGTGGTGGTGAGCCTGCGCTTGCGCTGCTTGTGCTTGAGCTTGCGCATGCGCATGTGCCTGCGCCTGGGCGTGCGCCTGCGCTTGAGGGTGTTGCGATTGCATCTGCTGAGCTTGAGGCGGGTGCTGCATGCCGGGCACCATTCCACCCATGACACCGACACCACGGGCCATCATACCGCCACCGTTCAACGGCGCGCTACGTCCCATGCCACGCATCATGTTCATACCGGCACTGCCCGCAGGTACGCCACGGGCCACACCGCTACTTGTCTCGGGGCCGCTAGCACTCATTGGGTTCGACGTCGGAGCACTGCCCATGCTCATGCTCATAGGCGCCTCACTTCCGCGCAACATGTGCGCCATCGGTACCCCTTGGCTGGCCGACGGACCACCATTCGGTTGAGCAGGCGCGCCTTGCTGCTGTGCCTGGTACTGAGACTCGGTGGTTGGTCGCGACGAAAACGTCGGCATCGGAGACGTTGTCGGCGGCTCCGAAGGGCCAGGCGCGGTGTTGGCACCGGCCATGCCGTTGGTCGGCTGGCCCGTTTCTCGAGCACGCAAGAGTTCCAGTCGCTCACGAATGAACTGCGCGTCGGCTCCGAGCTCTGCAGCCTTCTGGTACGCATCGCGAGCATCGCTCGTTTGATTGCACGTGTCGTACAGTGTCCCGACATTGTACCAGACCTCGCAAATGTTGGGATTGATGTTGATCGCACGCGAGTACGCATCGAGCGCATCCAAGTGCTGGTTCAGCTGGTAAAAGAGCACGCCAAGCGAGCACCACACGTTCGGGTTCTGCGAGTCGGTCGTCACGGCGTGTTTGTACGAATCGTACGCTTCTTCAAACTCCTGCACAGCCATGTAACATCGTCCCAGCAGGTACCATCCTTTTCCGTCTTGTGGATCAATTGCCACGGCCTTTTTCAGAAAGTCAATCGCAGGTGGATGTTCACTGTGTTTCAAGCACAACCAGCCGAGCTGTTGCAGCGGCTTGGCATTGCTTGGATTCAGCTCGGCGACCTTGAGGTAGCTCGACTTGGCCAGCTGAATCTCGTCCTTGAGCTCGTACACGTGACCAATCTGCGTCCAGATATCACTAGCCATCTCCGTCGTCTGGACGTTCGCCTGCACGTCGTGCAGCACCGACTTGAGTCGATCCAGCGCGCCTTCATAGTCGCCCCGCTGCTTGGCAATGATCCCGAGCCGGAACTTGACTTCCAGCGCCATGTTAAAGTTGGGCTCGAACCGCAGCACGGCTTCAAACGACTCTTGCGCGTGCTCGAGCGAGCCCAGTCGTTCATACAGCTGGCCAATGCCGTACCACATGTTGGGGTCCTTCTGACTCATGGGGTTGTTGTACATGGCGTACTGGTACGCCGTGTGCGCGCTCGTGAGGTCGTTCATCATGAGGCAGCAGTAGCCGAGATGGCCCCACGCGTCCGAGTTCTGCTCGTTCAGCGACACGAGTCCGCGGAAACAGTCGGCGGCCTTTGTATAGTCCTCGACCTTCTCGTAGCAGCAGCCAATGGCAAACAGCGCCGTGGCGTTCAACCGGTTGTGCGACAGCACCTTCTCGTACGCCAACATCGTGTTCTCGTCGTCGCCCATCATCTCAGCAATGCGGCCGAGCGACAGCCACGCTTCTTCGTTCGCAGCCGAGAGCTGGCGCCCCAGCTACAAGTGTACACAACAAAGTCATTATACAGACACCACACCATGAGATTCGAAAACCATTTTTTCGATCGACACACAAAGTGGCTACACTACGTATACACCGGCACATGTATACACAAATGCGTGTATACACATGGACGATGTATACACACAGGTGCGGGTATACATTGCGCAAGAGGGGGGAAGATGCGTGCGTGCGTACCGTGCTGGTCTCTTCCATCTTGGGGGTGGCCATGTCGCGTCTCGGACGTAGCGCGGCGAGACAACAATGTGGATGTTATTATTCGGACTTAAGCGGAGCAATCTCCCGTCGTAGCGGCTTCGGGGGAAGAGGACGTGTCCCGACCGACGTGTGCACGTGCCGTCTCTTTGTCTACTGACGGCCACAGAGGGCGACGACGACTGGTTTTGCGGTTGGGGAGAAAGGGGGCACCGCGAGGCGCTTGGAGCGACAGGGGGGCGATGGCAAACCCCTACCCGCACGCAGCTTACACACTGGCCAGAAGGTGGTACTCTTTCTGCTACAGCGACTACTCCTGTCCCCTCGCGAGACAAGGGCGGGTTGAATTAACACGATAGTGGACACGACCCTTTGGACGTGGACGCGCGCGACGCGATGGAGTGACTGAGTGACTGACTGTCGTCCCGACGACTACTGTGCCGACTGACTACGTGGCGATCGGGAACAGTGACTGTGGATAAGCTGACACCCTACAGTGCGTGTGTGTGGGGGGGGATTGTGGATCGGGTCTGGATGCTACCACCAAAATCGTGGAAGGTGGTGGACTTGCTGCTATCCAGTGCAAACAGCTGCCCCCCACAGCCCACGAAGACCAAAGGTGTAAATCAGACGTGTGGACGTTGCCGACTCTCGCACGCACAACGGGTGATGCCCAGCAGCACACCCAGTGTCAGCTAACAACGAGCAAGCCGTCGTTGTAGCGCCAGTCTACGCACGCGCTTTGGTCGCACTTTGAGCGGTCAAAGCCTTGACCGCGATGATTGTACCCGACGGACAATCGACTAACTAACTGCCTCTGTGCGCTCGTTTCAACTGAACCTCGAAAATATCCGTCCAAGCGACAGACAGTCCATCGCAGCTGTTACGGAGCGTGATGAGCGTGACGGACGAACAGATCGAGCCGACCAATCGGATCCGTTGTCCATCGTCCCGTCGCTGTGACGCATCGGCCGCTCCCAAGAGCGGGCCAGCAGACGGAGCGATCAGAAAGGCGCGCGCAGGTTGCAGTCTCGCCAAGACGAGACTCGCGCGCGACGGTTTGCTGTGTAGCGCCGGCTCTCGGAGGCCCAAAGTGAGAAAAACGACCGCGATGGTCGTTCTCTTCAACGGCGTTGAGCTGTCTCACGTTGTTGTTGTTGTTGTTGTTCGTATTGTAGTTGTTGTTCTTGTGGCTGTATGCCTCGAACGAAGTCGCCGAGCGCTTTGCCGCAGACGCGCAGGGACGTTACATCTCGGGGCTCTTCTGAACCCACATGCCTGTCGTCGGGTCGGTGCCATCATCCACGCACCAGCTGTTTTGCGCACTTGTGCTACAGACGTGTCACATGGGCCACGTAAACAGACCGGAGGAACAACGTCATGGGCGAACTGGATGGCGTGGATCGTGGACGAGGCACAGCCGCGCGGGACAGAAGCATGGCCCGGTCAGGGGCAGAAACGCCATGCGGAAGAGTGAGCGGATACAAGGAGCGAATAAGAAGTCAAGCGGCAGCAGCAGCTGCTCGAGCGCATTCGGATGTTTGACGAAAGCGTATTGCGGGCAAACTCGTATGACGCGAGTGCTGTGGTGTTCCAACGTTCTTGACTGACTATGTATTGCGTCGGACACGCGGAAGGCCGCACGTGATCTGCGACTGTGAGGATTGCTGTGTGAGGAAATGGAATGAGAATGAGTGACGCACTTGGAATACGAGTCGAGCGCATGAGTTTTGATAAACTGTGGCAGCTCCTTGTTCTAATCGTGTTTCTGGTTGATCCAGGTCGTTGCAGCGAATACCTAGTCAGCATTCGCAAAGAGCTATTCTGATCAGTTGGTGATTGAAATAGTGCAGAATGGTTCTGATTTGATGAGCAGTATATATTTGGGAGACCCAATTCGTCGAGCGACGATACAAAAACAGAACCATACGCAAATCGCAGATTTTGTGCTCAGCTATCCATATATGCGTTTTTAGAGGTGACTTCTTGCGCTCTCTCGATATCTTCTTGAGAGCAAACGCTCGTACTTACTATGAGTGTTTGTCAAGTTCCTGGACCGTGTCGTCACGCGGCTTGCAGGTCGCAGGTCCACCCGAGAAATTGCGACTTGGCATTGAGGTGATCACACCTGCAAACTATCCTCGCGTTTGATCGCGTGTCGTTTGTCCCGTCTATTGACGGATAGTATGTGTGTGTGTGTGTGTGTGTGTAGCTGGGAATCGCTTACCATTGGGCACACATACTCTCGACGCGAAGACGACCAGGCGCGAATGTCGCAACGGTACATACATACATACACTGACGTAAACAACAGACTAAGCAGAGGCGCTAGCGTGAACCCGATCGTGTAGCGAGCAGAGGATGGAGAGACTAGACCAGGTCTTTGGTACAGATGAAGTGTGGGCGCTTGATGCGAAGAATGAGCTACGCGACCTCAGTGTGGAGGAGACGAGTCCACAAGAAGGGCGGAGTCGGTGCTTGTGAAAGGGAACAATGACGTGAGTGGCGCATGGCGACGAGGGGGGACGACGCCAGGGAACCCGTCGACACGACGTGAGGAATCGAGGTAAAGGATAGTGGCGAAAGTTCCGAGACCACCGACCGGTCTGGAGAAGGGACGAGAGCTACGCTCTTGTCGCAGCACGCGTCGCACGCATAGCACCCAACGAAAAAGCTCCTGCTCCACACATCGATTGATGCACGCGGCAGCGCGCATCACTCGTAGAAACGAGTGGGGAACGTCTGCAGGTTCATGCCTTCCTCCATTCGCGATCGATGGCAAACAGGTACTGTCGACTGCTGCGGGGCCAAGGAATGAGCTTGCAGCGTTGTCGAGCCGGTAACAGCGCACAGCGCGAGTCGGCTGTGTGTGGTGCGCCAGCCGCGACCACAGCACATCGACATGATTTGCTGCTTTCCCGGCAAACTTTCTGTGTCGCGCCCGCGAGCGACCCGGGACCAGTTGACCAGCAAGCGACGGCAGTCGCATATCCATCGACAAAGTCGTGTTTGCGCGAGGAACAAACAATGCGAGTCGAGCGGTTTGCGACAAGTCGATCACATGGCAGTGGCCGCAAGTCCTTCTGCGACTCCACGACCGTCTGGTCACCTACGTCAGTCCTTACCACATTACGTTCGCTGTCATAATTAGTATCGATCGCTGTCGGATGGATTCCGGTGGGTGCTCGAACCATTTGGCCAACGACTATGGGATATCTACTGCTGTCGACGCGTTCCCAGCGATGATGGGCCGCTGCGTCGATCCCGACCTCGACGAGGAAACACGAGACATCCTGAAGCAGACCACTTGTTTTCACCCTTCAGCAGCGACAGTGCGTCTACTTCCATTGTACACGGACGAGAAAACAAGCCGCAGCTTTGGGGCAGAACTGGCGGTGCAGCCCCCGGCTGTCATGGCAAAGGCTGGTGGATCGCGACAGTCGCGTGGATCTTCCTCGTAGCTTGGACCCAGCCAGACAGGGCGGGCATCTAGCGTTGTTGGTCTGTGTCGACCATTACGTGTACGCTGCGGTGTTTTTGTTTTCTTTCGTGGCACAAGAGGATGATGGATGGGACGAGCTCAAGTCAAGTCGTGACGAGGAACGTGTTCACGCGGGTGCAGCTCCTGCGTCAGCATAAACCAGACAAACACGTTGGACGTTTGTGATGATGACGAGGCGATTGCACGTCCTCATGTCCGCTACCTCGAGACGTCCGTCTACTGCGGGGAGTAGAGAGGAGAGAGAGACTGCGCTTGGTGGCCAGACAGCATGCACCAGAGCGTCTACGGGACATGGCCACGCACGTCCATACGTGACTCTGCTGCGTTGTTGCTTGGTAGAGCGGCCCCCAATGGATGCAAACAAGTCGTACGTGATGGCATTGACGACAGCCTTTGCGTCGTGGCACGAGGGGGGGAAACGCTTTGCAGAGCGTGCCTAACGTCTGCTACAGCATCTGCTTGTGCATCGAGTAGGGCACTGGGACAGACATTGTGCGATCACCGCGCAGGCCGAGTGACGCCTGTCGACGGGTCCGGCAAAGTGCCAACACGTACCGCACAGTGCTCGCTCGACGGTGTAATGGCCCCACGACGCAAGTACTGTCGCCCGATGTGCGCAAGAAACCCCACCGCCTGTCACTTGAGCTGTCCATGTCAACCGATGACTCCTCCGTCGTTTCCTCTCTGCGCAACGAGCGCACATGTTGAGTGGCACTGCAAATGTGCGGAGCGAGACCACATCTACCGCTGGCACTCGGCAAGAAGAGCAGAAGATCTGCAGAGACGACTGATTTACTGCTATTCGGTTGCTGCAAAATTTCAAACACGTCATGAGCGGACGCTGCATGTGATCGCGCAAAAAGCTGCCGAGTCAATCGATTTACAACTGTCAATGTATCTCCCGACCATGAGCACGACATGTCCGTCGCTCGGGATCAATTGTTCCGTTGTCGCTCGCCGACAGTCCCCGTAACGACCACGAAACGGTCACACACACACACAGAGCGAGCGAGCGAGCGATGAAACACTGTTTTCACTGCAACGATCAGCCCAAAGCAATCGCTTCGTCACGACAGTGCAAACACTGCCCAGCGCAAGTCACTGCAGCAGCCTCAAGGACCCCAACAGCTCTTTTTGTCGCATGCCGCACGCTCTCTGATCAGAAGCGCTGGCTGGTCCCGTGCGAAACCCCTTTTTTCCAGGCAGCAAAGCCCTTGCGCTGCTCACGACGGCACTGTGTGCATGTGCACACATACGCTTTTGTCCGCTGGAACCGCACTGCCTGTCCGTCATGACTGTCACAGCGCCGCTCCCGCTTCTTCTCTTTGCGCTTGTTGTGGCTCGCCACTTGAGCGCTGGTCAAGACGTAGTGGCGGTGGTGACGCCTTCTCCTCCTGTAGCACTTGTAGATACGTCAGGGCCCAATGCCACGCGCGAGGCAGCAGTACCTCTTGCAGTCGACCTGCTGCTGCCGCCCATTCACACGGCTTCGCCTGCGTCTTCGACCTTCCAAGTCGTAGCCGACGTCGTGTGCAACGCCACTGAGACGCAAAAGCTCTACGCCCTCTACGGCCGCAATCGGGCGCTCTTTGACCTGTGCGTCACGGACGCGCGGTACCACGTCTTCCCCTTCCTCGGCACGAAACCTTCGGCCGAGCAAGTGGCCAACATGGCGTCGTCCATGTCCTGCGTCGCACTCTTCTCGGGAGCGCTGCTGGCCACGTTCCCCGAATGCACAATCTCGGGCTTCCCGCTGAAAGCAGCGATGGAGACCGTGTTGAAAGTCCACGTCGACCTCGTGCACGGGTGGGCCCCACCTCCAACCGCAGAGCGGTTCCTCGAGATAATCACGTGGCGGAAGTGTGTCAACCTCGCGCGAGAAGTTGGGGCACCGAGTGACGCCGACTCGGAGTTGTACGGGCAGTTTGAGACGAACCTGGCGCTGCTTTGCACGGATAGCCCCGTGCGACTGCTGCCGGACTATCGTCTAGAGTACCAGCTCGGCAGTGGTTCCTGGCACGGAGCCGAAGAGATCAAGTCCGCGCAAGTTGGGGACACTCGGCAAGGCAGTCGCGACGGTGTCGTGGCCACTGTCTCACCTGGGGACAGTGACTTGAACGTGGGCGACCGCGAAGCTACGGACGTCACGAGGGAGTCGACAATTGCCGAGAGTGGCTGTGCACCAAAGAGTCGAGTGAGTAGTAGTGGACTTGCGTCGGCTCTAGTAAGTGCACTGCTAGGCGTGTACCTCGTAGGCATAAGCTAAGTCGTGTAGTATTCCCCGTGCTTTCGACCGTCGCTTTTCGTTTTACTATTGGGATCGGCTTAGTGAAGAAGCAGTGGACCTGCCCGACGCGAGTACTTACGCGCTTGGCTATGGTCTCGATGGAGTCAGCAAAGTGCTTTGCTACTCGGAGGTTCTCTCGCATGGAGTCGTGACTGTACGATCCTTTTTCGTCTGCGATTCCTGAACAGCTGAACGCTGTTTTGTGTCTAGACTTGGGATATGCGCACGTACGTACGTACTGTGAACTGCTTGCAAGCTCTCATCTCGAGCGTGTCGTACTGCCACACAATGTGCAAAGTCAGACCGGATGCAACAGTGTGTGGGATCGTTACTTCCTCGTGGAAGAAGACATCAACGCGTCTGCATCTCGATGCGTGAGGCCACTCTAGAATGGAAACACAGTCCACCTGTAAGCCTGTCGATGGAGGTCAAGCTCAGTTCGCGAACAGATCTGTCAACCGCAAACTCTTTTGCAGCGGTAGTTGTCGGGTACAAGTGGAGAAAACGAATGCAACACGTTGTCAGCCCTTCGCAGCGTCTCCATGTTAGCTACCGCTGAGTCCCTCGAGAGTGAACTCTCTTCACCTTCGCAGTCCTTTACCTGTGTCAAAGTGGACAGGCAATGAGCAACGCACGTGAGCTCAAGCTTCGGCACTCAGCAGCTCGATCTTGACTCAGCTTTCCAGCAAGCCAAGTGCCATCGAAATGGTATCACACCTCAATAAGCAGCAACGAACCAGTCAGTCCGTCGATCTTCTGCAACGTTAGGCGTTCCCTCGTGGTGGCAACGCCCACAATGCCAAAACGCTATGACCCCACAACTCGTCTCGTGCTTTCGTGACTGCGCGTCATGTCCTGACGATCGCATCATTAGCTAAGGCTCAACACAGCACGAACACAGATCCCATCTGACCGTCACCCAGGACGGCCTCTCGTCGCTGACACCCGAGTGCCAACATGCTGCCGTACTTCTCGTTGACTAACAGCTGTGGCAACCCCACGGCGGCCTGTCCAACCCCGACACGTGGTCTCTCCTTTTCCCGCTGTCAACCAACTGCTCCTCAAGTTTCCTGCATCCACCAAACCCCCTGCAGACCAAACGCTCGTTCCCCATCGAATCGCTACTTGTACCTCATCCCGTCCGTCCGTCCTATGCGGCGTACCGCTACAGATTGACACGCAGATACCATCAAGTCGTACCATTGTCCATCATCCGTCGCCACGTCAACTTTTCTACCGTCCCCTGTTTACTGCTGACCGCCTCAACATGTACGCTACTGGACGCACATTGACTGCGCTCGTTGACACGCAGTGGGGATCAAAGGCGGCAGTAATAGTACTACAACGGGCCGCCCATCATCCAATGCCCTGCAACGTTCCTGTAACTTGAAGGCAACAATAACGTCGAGCGTCCAGTCTGGATCGGTCGAAAACAAGGGGCGGACGTCTCGACCCGACAACCACATGCGCTCAGCTCGTTCCCGACCGAAAAAAGAGACAAACAACCGCACGAAGTCCTCGAGCGTTCCTCAACACGCAACACACAGCGTATATCTATCTCTCTGTCTCTGTCGCTCTCTCTTTCTCTCTCTGACTCTCTCGCTCTCCTCTTTGTCTCGTGAGCGCTCTCGCAGATGGGAAACAGCAGCGACCGACGGCCTCTACCGACCGAATTCCATCGGGTCTTCACTCGATAAACTTCGTGTCGATCGCCAACTCGTGTCGCCAACCGCCATCGACAAATGCTGCGGTCTCGAGCCCTTTGGTTCATTGCGATATACGCACTCGCCCATTGCCTCCTTTTGGTCAACGTCACTGCAACTGTTGCAGCAGATACGGCCCCTCCTCATGCACAACAACACCACCAACACCTGTACCAGAGGGCTACGGCATTGCCGACCATCCACAAGGCCCGACGCAACTCGCCGACCTTTGCACTCGTTGAGGGCTACGACTGCGACCACAACACCGTCGCACTTGCACGTCAGTTTGTCACGGCCAATGCCGTCACGTTCGACACGTGCATTGCCGATAGCGGCTACGAGGTGTTCTCGTTCAAAGGCGTTGCGTTAACGGCCAGCGACGTCACAGGTCTCGTCCACGCCAATGCGTGTCGGGCCCTGATGACAGCGGCACTGCTGTTGGAGATGCCGCCGTGTTTGCTCGGGAACGTGGCTGTGCGTGCAGCTTGTGAGACGCTGTTGTACTATGCAGAGGCGTTGCACGAGGAGGAGAAGGAGGACGAGGAGGACGAGGGAGAAGCGAAGGCCGAAGTCGCTCTTGCCGAGCAGTTTCGGGAGCTATTGCACTGGCGACGCGACGTGAACTTTGCACGGGCAGCGAAGAAGCCGTTTGACAGCGAGTCGAAGACGTACGTCGTGTTTACGAAAGCGGTGCGCCGGGCGCTGGCGTCGAGTAGCGTGGCAGTGATGCAGAACTATACAGTTGTTTGGGATACGAACGAGGGGGACGAGGAGGCCATTGAAGTGGACGACAGTGACGAGAGCGACGACAGTAACGAGAGCGAAAGTGAGGACGAAGATGGGGACTACACGTCGTTTGTATCTACGAACTCGTCCATGGACTACTTTGTCGGTCGCGTTGTTGCAGTTGATGAGGTTAGTGACGATACGTCGATTGAGACCCATCATGCGAAGGAGATTTTGACTACGGAGAGCTCAGGTGCCGTGGCTTTGGTCCAAAGTTGGTCAGCGTTACTTGCTCGACTGGTAGCATTACTGGCCGTGACAGTTGTAGTACTCGTCTAGCGAAGTATGTAAGTTAATGGTAATCTCAGTGTATTTCTACGGGAAAGCGCAGACATAGACACCGAGTCGATAGGTAGGAAGTAGATAAGTAGATAGACGGGTTCGGCAAATAGATAGCTGCAACTACGGGCCATGTCGATTCCAATCAAGTGCGTCCACTAGACTCAAAACTTGGCCTTGCGCTTGAGACTCAGCTCTTTCTTGGCTTGTTTGCGATCGTCTTTAGTCAGCACGAGCGGCGCAATGGCAGTGCCAGCCCGTTTGAGGATCTTGGGCGCAGTGAGGACATTCGTCATGTGCGACGTGTTCCAGTCGCTGCCCAGTGGATTGCGGATCGCGGCCTCGTACTCTTCGCGAGACGTGAATGGATACGGCACGTCCTTGACCTTATACTTGGCTGCCTTCTTGTCCTTCTTCTCATTGATGAGCACCTTGTCCAGACGCGCGTCTTTGCGACCAGCCAATGCCTTCTGCTTGGCCGCTTGGGCAATCGACTTGGCCTTTTGCTCACGTGCAAGTTGATGCTTCGACACGCGCACGCCTTCGCCTGCCCAGCTGCCCCAGCCAGACATACCCACAAGCTTTGCAATCTCAGCCCCTTTCTTCGCATCGGCATCTTGACCCGCCAACCGGTCCTTCTCTTTTGCAAGCTCGTCGTCTTCCTCAGCAACAAAGTCAAACGCTCGACGGACCAACTCGTCTTGCCCAGCTCCCAGTGCACTCGCTTTGGGCTTTTTCGTCAGCTTCTTGCTGCCCGACACGGTCTGCTCGGACGCCTCGAAAGTGCCCGTCTTGGCCTCGTCGAGTTTTCGCTTCTTGCCAGTCGTTGACGCGCTCGCGGTACCAGCACGAGCAGGTGTCGATGCAATCGATACCTCGTCACGCACTGTCGTGTTCGTGTCTTGTGCCAGCGCTTCGATAGCCACGGCAACGTCTGGCTGTGTACTTGCACTCTTCTGCTGTGCTTTCGTCTTGCTCTTCTTGTGACGCAGCTTACTCCTTGTGGCTGTGCTGGACAACCACGGGTTCTCTTCACCTTGTGCCATTGGCTCTACGTCGGCGCCTTTTGACTTGACCTTCGACCGAGACTTGCTAGCTCCATGTGCACTGTCCGAGGTACATGCCTTGACACTGAGGTCAACGACATTGCTCGGTCTCGTGTCGTCTTCGGTTGAGACCGTGACCGTGCTACCACCTTCGCCAAGATCGACTGCAATCACACCGGAAGCACGAGCAGACATGCCACCACTCATGCTCACGTCCGACGTCTGCAGTGCGCCTCCAGCCAGTGCTTGGTCCACCACTGCCTTGTCCTTGTCAGTCACCACTACTTTTGCTTTCGTCTTCCGCACACGTTTGCGCTTTGTTGCAACGGCAGCACCTTCACCGCCAGAGCTATTGTGGTCCTCATGCTCTGAAAGGACGCGATCATCGTCTGCACCGTCGCCCGTCCGAATCTCACGCAGGAGTTTCTCAGCCTCTGCACGCGCCTTCTCTCGCTGCTTCTCAGCTGCACGTTGCATGAACTTCATACCCTGCAGACCGCGCTTCTTGCCAGCTTCCTCCGTATCGGCATCAATTTCCGTAACCAGAGCTTTGGCTTGACGTTCCAACCGCTTTTGCAGACGCGAAGCTGCATCACCTTCACCTTCATCGTCATCATCAGCGTCGTCACCGTCCAAGTCGTCACCGTCCAAGTCATCATCGTCGACAGTGTTCATCTTTCGCCGCAGCTCCTCACCACGACGAAGTTGATCCGCAATGGCACCTCGAGTCGCATCATCGGCGTGAATGCCACGACGCAGTTGGTGCTTCACCCACTTGCTCGTATTGCGATGCTTGAGCGTGAGTCGTTCTTCGGCGCGCTTTTCAGCAAGCTCTTCGTCCAGCTTCCGTGCTAACTCCAGGTCAAGTGCACGTAGCTCTTCCTTCTGCTTTGCCACAGCCTTCTTGTCCTGTGCGTTACGGATCTTGTGGTAGAGCTTGCTCTTGATCTTCTTGATACGCTTGGTCTTTTGCTCCTCGTAGAACAGCAGTGACCGCAGCTTCGACAGCTCCTTCTGTCGTGCAGCTACTTCTTCCGTCGACACCTGCTTCCGCGCGAGCTCTTCTTCTTCGTCCTTTGCCAGTCGCTTGTCACTCAAATCGCCAGCTTCCAGTAGAGCTGCAACGCTCTTCTCCATCTCTGTCTGCGGCACAAACTTGCTCGCCAGTGCAGCAGGCGTCAGCTTCTCGAGCTTCGGGGCCTGGACACGCAGGTCCAGCGTCCCTTTCTGCCGATTGCGACGCACAACGGGCTCAAAGAGGTCCATGTCTTTGGTCTTTTCCACGTACACCAGCTTCCGCTCCGCTCGCGCATCTTGTACTGCATCTCGATTGGCCTGGAGCGTCAGCGTCGTGCCGTCTCCTTCCAGTTCTCGCACCTGCTGCCTCATGCGTCGCAAGTCCAGCCCCGTCTTGGTCTTCTCATGAGCCTCCCCGTCGTCCTCTTCTTCAGCAGCTTCCGCTCCTGGCTTCACTGTCTGCGCAGCAAGCAGACTGCCAAGCGTCAGCTCTCCATCTCCTGTCTCACTAGCAAACTGCGAATCAATCTCGGCCACTCTCTTCCTGCTTTTGGGCGCCACCAAGCTGTCCACCATCTTGCTCAAGTTCTTCACCTTCACCTCCTCCTCCTCTTCCTCCTCCTCATCGTTTGCACTCGCAGTAGACAGCCTACCAGCAGCCGCAGTGCCCAACATATCCGACAGTAACTCTCCTCCTTCTCCATCATCATCATCTCCTCCATCTCCTCCATCTCTCTCTTCCTCGTTCACGTTCTTCGTGGCATTACGAAAAAAAAGACCGTACGCAGCCTCATCGTTACTGTCAAACGCCCCGTCTTCGTCGACTTCCGAGTCGTCGTCGGCTTGCCCAAACGTCGGGTCTTCGTACTCAAACACCTCGTCCACATCCGCCCGGGCGTTCATCGTGCGCTCGTAACTCGCCGCCTCCTCGTCATCGTCGCTGAACACGTCGTTCAGCTGACGACTGCTACTACTGCCGCTGCCTCTGTCGCGGCGCTGCTTTACAGCTGCTGTAGCTGCTCCATTGGACGTGCTCTTGGACCTGACGCTGGTGGCCGACCGAGCGACTTTCTTGCCCTTGCGCGCGGAGGCTCGACGCGCCATACTGCGCACGTACACGTACGGCAGGAGCTACGAGTGACACGGGAATGGTTGGTGCACGGCCATTCCCACTAAGTCCGATCCAGGCGACCGGCTGCTTTTGTTGAACCCATCTCGTGCACGGTCTCAGCTATTGGCTGGACGGACGGACGTTGACGTGGACGTGCAGTACTTTGTGGACGGGTGGGGTCAAACGAGTTAAATGTGGTGCGATCGACTGACTGCATGTTGAGGGGAATTGTGTCAGGTTGTCGACTCGACTTGCTCGTGTCGTGCAGTGGTGTCAAGTGGGATGGTGGACGGTGGGCGCAGGTACCTCTCGAGCTCTAAACCACAGCTTTGACGTGTTTGAGAGCGACATTGGGTGTGGGAACGTAGTAGGGCGAGAGGCACTATGACGCTTACTTGCTGACGATGCTGTTGCAGCCGTCTTTGATCGTTTGTTAGCGCTGTAGTTGCTGATGGAAAGCAAGTTGAGACGACGACGTGCGTCTAGTCGATAACTCATCGCGTCGGTCTATTTGTTTATTGCATGTGTACTGATGCCATGAACGACGTACAAGACTTGAAGTTCAAGTGGTCATTGACAGTCAAACGCTACGAACTGTATCAGCAGTGCAATGGCTTCACAGTCATGAGAGAGATCTCGACACAACACGCACATGTTTGCATCCGCAAGCGCTTATTTGCCATAAGACGGACGCCGACGTATTTGACATTCCGCGTTCCGAGCCAGTGCCAACGCTGTTCTCTCTGCTCGACATGTGAAGAATAAAATTCACAAAGAACAAAGCTAATTCTCGCAGGAGTATTGTATGTGACAGGGTATGCAGTGTCGCTCACGGCGGGAGGTCGACCTCATGGTTGGCGTCCGTTCGACACAATCGGCATCACAGTCACGATCACTCGGCCACGTGCCACCCGTCCGCTCGTCTGGTCGCCTCCACTGGTCATCCGCAGTTTGCAATATACGTTCTCCCACACCCTTATAACACACGCCACAGCCACAGACACACGCAGAATGATTTCGCCCCTGAAGGACATTGTCGTCGCCACAGTGCTGGGCCTCGGCTGCGGTCTCGTGTGGAACAAATTCAAGGACGGCGAGATGGACCGCATCAGTCAGTTCTACAAGTGGTACGACGCCCAGGAAGCCCCGAAGAAGCACTTGGACGACTAGAGAGGCCCCGGGCGGTGGGGTGTCGTCCCTCCCACGGTTGGGTCCGACTTGTACCGCATGTATTCGGCAAAGTGCGACTTGCCACGGGCCCTTCTGTGCGATCGCACGACTCTTGTCACCGACGGTTCAAGCAGGAGGTAGAGTGCGGGTTATGACATACAAGAGGGAACGTAATTCGTAATCAAGGGTCGCGCTTTTCGGGTCCGCCAAGTAGTGACATGTCGTATGATCCTTTTGTATGTCGCTCGTACACGTGAGGTCGATAGTACAGCACTTGCTTGATCCATTGTCCTTATTCGTCTGATGGTGCTCTTCTTGCTACTGTATCGCGTCGTACCAGTCCATGTGCTTTTCGCTTGGATGACATGGGCGTGGAAGCAGATTGACTGTACACTGAATACGACGAGAGTTTCATGATGAGTACCGACCGTGGCAGTGGACAGCAGAAGGTTGCGTTGTTTACTACTGTTCGGGAGTTACGTTGTCTACTGTGACGAATGATCAGGCCCACGAGATGTGTGCTATGACACCTCTTGTCGATTGTTGCGACTGCTGATCTGCTCCGTGGGCATCCTCACTACCGTATTTTGCAACACGGGACGTTGCATGGCAGCACAAGAAGACAATCTCCATCAAGAGCACATTTGGCAAGCAAGTTCGCTCCGCCATGCTCCATTGTTAGAAGCTTCGCAAGTCGACTGTACGGATAAGGAGTCATTACGCGCGCATTCGGGTTCCAGAACCTTATTGGATCGAATTGGAGATGCTACCGGCAACACGTTCGTTGTCCAGACTCGAGAAGACCAGGAAAAAGGAATATGGATACAGATTCTGCCGACACGGACTGTTTGCCGTAAACGCGTGCACAGAACGAATAGGGTGTCACGTGTCAGAGTGTGATCATGCAGCTTTCCTCGATTCAGCTATCGTACGCCATCACACAACCACACAGGACGCTCGCATCGTACCAAGTCATTGCAACTAATGTCGACCAAAGCCTTAACGTGCACGTTCCTCTACCGTATTCGGTCGCTTGTCCGTCGCAAAAGCCCAAAATCACTATTCCTTTCGCTCGAGAGATCAGAGTGCACGCGAGAGCATCGAGCTATGATCAGTCGCTGCTCTGCCACGACGCAGTGTTTCAGCTCCTCGTGATTACATATTGCATCAGCTTCTAGAGAGTCAAGAGGAAAAAAACCACACACACACAAACACACACACACCTTTTGTCGCTCGCGGCTTTTGCGTCGATCGGTTCACAATACTGGCAGCAGACCTGTCCACTTTGGCCGTGTCGTAAGTTATTTATGATGATCCCATCGACCAATGAGAATCGATATGACACTGCGCTGGCTTGTTCCGGCGGTTCCACACTGAATTTCGCCCACTGCTCGACGCCCGCAATGGGCGATGTGATCCGCGTGCTGCTGTTGAATCCGCTCACGAGCGTCACGTCGCTCGTGTGCCTCCAGCGGCCGCTCGAGTGGGACAGCGTGCTGAGCGACTTTTATCAGGTCATTACGAACTCGGACGACGAGCCGGCGCCGAGTATCCTGGCCAAGTGCAAAGTGCTCCTGCACCCGACCAAGTCCAAGAGCGAAAAAGGAGTCGTGGTACGAGGACGCATGGGGTTGGGGGAAATGTATATCCAACGTGCGCGCGCCAGGATGGTTTTCACCTAAACTTTTGTTGTTGTTGTAGCTTGACCTACAAGAACGGGTCCAAGTGGCTCACGCGTAATTAATGTTCACGTGATGTAGATTCGCAAAAGCGCGCTGGACCGGTCGATCCGCGACGGCGACCTCTTGTCTCTCGACGGCTTCCAGCTCAATGAAGCGACAGGACCGCCGCCAGAGCTGCTCGATATCATGGAGACAATGGACTTTCGGGACTTGGACGCTGCGTTGCTGCCGTCCAGTGCCGTAGCAAAACGCAGTGACATGAACGATGCAGTGGCGTCGCTGGACGCGCGGGTTCAGGCACAGCTGGCGCTGGCACCAGCAGACGGACCAGCACGGTCTCGTCCAGCAGCATCGTCATCATCATCGTCGTCAGCAGCAATGGCTCCATCAGCGCGAGGCCAGTCACGCAAGTCCAAGCGAGGACGCAGTCTCTCGTCCAAGTTTTGGCTCGTGAATAAATTGGCGGCCAGTGGCAAGATCAGCAAAGAGCAGAAGGATTCGCTCAAGATGCTGCTGATTGCATCGGACGACTCGGCGCTGCATCAGGCGTTCGAGCACTATGAAGAGACGGGGGACTTGGACACGCTGCTCAACTTGCACGTGAACTCGAAAAAGTCGTTCGTGGGCTTACCGCCGCTGTCCACCGAGGCGTTCGACTTTCAGCTGACGCAGAACATTGAGAACGAGCTGGACCTGCTGTCGATGCGGAGCTTCAGCGTTGGTGGCGGCGACACGTCGTCACCGATCAACGAGACGCTTGCGTCTGCTACAATGTTACCGACCAGACCGACGAGCACTTCAGCTCGCAACGAGCCGATTCCGTTCGCCGCGTCAACTGGTGAGCTCCTGGATCCGCTGGACGCGTTGCTCGAGTCGTCGTTGGACGCGCTGCCCATGCCAATCGGTCATGGCGACGAGCAGAACTTGCCGTCCGCACTGCCTGGTGATTTGCACGGCATGGAGGAATGGCTGAAGGATTAGAGACAAGTGTGGAAGCAAAAGGTTTGCAGCGTGGCACGTGGCGAGTCCGACCGACACGAGTCGAACGAGCACCCGCGTGCACGTTGCAAGTTCCGAGCAAGTGAGTGAGTGTGTAAACAGGTATGTGGTATGTCGTGCGACTGGCTGCGCTGGTCCATTTGGTTCAAGCTCGTCCATCTACCAGCCAGGCGTCTCTTTCGGTTCCCACACGTCCGTAACGTGTGGACCTCTGGCCGCGTCAAGTGGCGTATCGCGGAGAAACTGCTGCCGCTTTTCCTCGTCCATCATACTGGCCCGGAAGCACAGGTACATGTTCTTCCAAGTGAACTTGCACTCGTCTACTTGGCCGTAGCGGTAAAAGTGCTCCATTTGGTTCCCAGGCGCTATGTGCACAGACAGAAAAAAACAACGTCAATAAAGTGTTTTGTGCGAGTGTGTAAAAAATGCTTTTTTGCCGCGGTTTCGGCTCGGGCGCGGTCAATGTCACAACGTACTGACGCAGTAGAACGATCGATCGAGAAACCACCGACACGGGAGTTTGGTCGCCGTCTGGCCGTCAGCCTTCTGCTTGAGCATCTCCTCGTGCACGTAGCGTGCCGTGCGCTCGGCATTGGACGTCTTCGAGTCCATTGTCGCAAACGTTTGCTTCAGAAGGATGGAATCCACGTGGGCTTATTGGATCACGTGCGGCGAAACAAAAGAAGATAGCAGGCTGTCAATAAACGCTCAATAAAGCGCTTTTTTACAAAAAGAGGCTGACGTCGTCGACCAGACTGACAAAATACCAAACAGAGGCTCAACATGCTGCACGTGGAAAATGCACCTTCGAGAACACCTCTGGATCAAATATGCGAAGAAGACAGCAGTGAGCATCTGCAGCACATATGTTCCGACACATTACCCCCTCTGCCCATTGCCTGTGGCACTCAAAACACTACACGTCACGAAAACCCCACAGCGCATGCCCACTGTGTTATTTGGGCTAAAAAACCGTCCGCGTAAATGTGTCATTCTGCGCAGTGTTACTTTTCATCGCTCGCTCGCGCTCTCTCTCCCACCGTCGTTCTGCTACTTTTCCACGCTCGTTCGTTCGTTCGCTCTCTCTCTCTGAAGTAGCTGCACCACCCGAGCGCCTCCCGTGTCCGTCTACCACCGCGTGAGCTCCGCGCGCTCGTCCGCCAGCCGCTCGGCCTCCACGACCTTCTGCGACATGTAAAAGTCCAGCGGGCGCTGGATGGCCTGGATCTCGTCCGGCAAGTAGCTGCGCTTGAGCGAGCAGTCGGCCGCGCGCGCAATGCGCTTCGTGCGCGCCTTGTAGTCCGCGTGCGGCACCCAGTGCAGCGCGGTCTGCACGGCGGCCGTGTCGACGAGCGCGTCGTCGTACTTGAGGCCGTACTGGCCGAGCGTCTTGCTCAGCGACTGCTGGTACAGGCGCGCGACTTTGGCCAAGAGACTCATTCGTTGTATGGGCTGTGGGCGAATGGAAATGACCGACGGCGCGGTCTGCTGACGGTCGACTCGGGAACACCGCAGAAATGGGGGGGGACACGAGTTGTACGTGAGATTCGGGACGGGCTGTGGATTTGGTGTGGTTCACGCTATTAACGGAGCCTCAGGTTCTTACTTCACCGTGTTTGTTGAGTGTTCGTTTTGTGACGGCCTTTTTTGATGTGTCGACGGGCAAAGAGCAAAATTGGTGCTGGGTTGGGCGGTTGCGTCTCTCGGTAAGTTCGGTTCCGACTTGTGTTGTGCGTGTGTGCTCTTTTTATGTATACGCTGTTGTGTTGGACCAAATGGCGCGCGACCCAATGTGGCAGTCGGTACGTTGTCTGCGTAATTTACGCTGATAGAAAGATGGGACATCTTGTACAACTTGCGCTGTTCCTTGCAGAGTCGATGCAACATGGCATGAGCACTACATATATGAAGTCATTTGTTTTTTATCCTGGCGCTCCACTTGTGCAGATTGTCGACAGCTTTTTAGTATACATTGACGAGATGGACTGCTGCACGAGTCAGATCGTATCTGCTGCGATACGACTTCGAACACGCACGACCTGCGAATTGAGCCCTTTGGCATCCCACACTTCCACTCGCTGTCATTGCAGTGTAGTGCTAGTGCAGTGTGGTGCAATAGATGCTGCGAATCGTCCCTTTTGCCTCGCCAGGAAGCTGCGAAAGCCCTTTATGTCGTAAAACGTTCGTCCAGCGTACGATTTGCCATCGGCTGGCGGTCCTTCGACGTGCCGCTCGCGTTCCAACGTCGTGTACAGCCACTCGAGTTCTTCGTCCGGCAGCTGCGTGGGCGCCCACCAGAGTGTCAATCCGTAGCGTGGGTGCTCGAGCAGCTGCCGCACGGCTGGCCACGAACGTCGCACACTTGTCGCACGGAGTGGAAACGTCACGCCGCACTTGTTGGTCGTGTCGCGGTAGGGCTGCAAGAGCTGCAGCATGGCGTCGACCATGTCAATCGAGTACCCCCTGTCCACGTCGAGGTCCTGACTGTGGACGGTCGTCCATCCAACAGACAGCACGAGTTTGTGGCGATGCTGTCCCCCGTCTCGCGCCCCGAGCCCATCAACTTGTTGCAAGAACACGGCCCCGTCAAAAGCTGCCCCGTCGACCAGAGGCGTCTCTGGTCCAGGCACAATATCGGCATTGAGGAACACACTGCGCGTGAATGGATACGCTGCGAGGAACGCGGCCAACAGGTCCAGCGACGCCTCGAACGCCTGCGGACTTTTAAAGTCGCACTTCACAATCAACGGTGGGTCACTGCTCACAGGCACATGTTGCAACATATTGGCCACGTCCAACATCGTCTGTAGAAAAGCAGCCAATGTCAAGTCGCCAGTCGTTGCGGGCGGGTGACCCATCACAGGCCTCTGCTCCGCTTCGCTCCAGATGATATCGGCCTCAATGGCATTGACAAAGTCATGCAGTGCAATTGGCTGCGTCGTAGCACGTTGCACCTCCTGGTGCACTCTTCTGAGCAACGCACGGGAATTGATTGCGTGACCCCATCGATAGTCGAGCGGATTCATGTTCCCAGGACGGGCGATGATAGCGGAGTGGGTCTCTTTGCTGCAGGAAGATCGGGTGGTGGTGAGATGGGTACACACAGTGGACGCAATTACGACATGGGTACAACAACAGCAACAACAACAACAACGACGGTGGATGGTATGCAGTCCAAGCCAGAGGGACTGCGAATTGTGATATTGCAATGACCGTTTGCGGCGAACGATGTGAGGAGTGGAGCGGCTGCTGGTAGTCAAAACGAACGCGTGAAGTCACAGCTGTTGCCTGACAGGTCGACGGTCGGCAGCTACGGTGGTTTTGCTCAAATGGTATATTACAAAAGCTGCAACCGTTGAAGTGAGGAAATCATGTTCAGTGTTTCAGATAACACCTGAACACTGTCTCGATCGTACCTCTGATCTTTGGTCATCGCATAGCGGCCATCTGCGTCTCGACGGCCCAACGGCTCGTTGAACCGTCTCCCGCTTTGGCTCAATTGCGTTCTTGTTACGTAGGAACGAAGCGGCAAAAACAGTAGCCGAGGAAGAAGGAGGAGGAGAACGAGACGTAGAGGTATACCTAACATGGCACTGACGGAATGCGAGAGCGATACCGTCGAGTCGGCTCCTCTTCGATATGCCAAGACGCCCCATTTGTGGGCGCTGGGCGTCGGAGCGGTCGTTAGCGGCAACTTTTTCGGCTGGCAGGCGGGACTCGTAGCTGGTTTCAACGGCTTACTCATTAACTTGTCCTTAGTCACAGTGCTCTACGTCCTGCTGGCGTTCTCGATTGCTGAGCTCTCGACGACGGTACCATCGGGTGGCGGTCCCTACGTCTTTGCTTTGCATGCCATCGGTCCTCGCGCTGCCTTCTTGGCAGGTCAAGCCGAGAGCCTCAAGGTCGTCATCACTTGTGCTGTGATTGTCACGGGCATTAGCTCGTACATGAACCAGCTGCTGGACTGGAGCTCCGACTATGGACCGATCTGGTGGACGGTGTTCTACGTCCTCTTTGTCTCGCTCAACATCATTGGCGTCGAGATGACGTTTCGCGTGCAAGCGATCACGACAGTAGTGTCGGTGGTCATTCTGCTCGTGTTTTACATTGGGGCAACGACCAAAGTGTCGTATACCGAGTGGGTCGCCAATGTTCACTGGGAGTACCCCGGAGGTTGGGACGGACAAGTAAAGGGCTACTCGTTTGCCTTGTGGTTCTTCTTGGGGATCGAAGAGCTCCCGCTTGCTGTGGAAGTGACGATCGACCCAGGACGCAATTTACCAACTGGTCTCCTCACGTCCATCTTCACACTTGTGCTTCTTGCGGTTGGCACAGTCGTTTTCAATTCCATGATCGACCCCGGCGCTCAGGACATTTACAGTAGTGCATCCCCGCTCCTAACAGGGTACCAGAGCGTCTTTGGCAACAACAGCATCACCTCAGGCTTCTCCTGGATGCTGCTCGTGGGCCTTATTGCGAGCTTCCACTCGTTTATCTTTTGCATGGGTCAGCTCCTATTTGCCATTGCTCGGGACGGGTACTTGCCGCAGATTCTGACTCGACGACACCCGACGCGAGGTACCATGTACGTGTCGTTGATTGCTGGTAGCAGCATTGGATTCCTCGTGGTGATCGTGCTGCACTATATCATCGGAGACGCGCGTCTGGGCTCGGTGATGATCAACCTCGCACTCATAGGTGCCGTGATTTCCTACATCTTTCAGCTGACTTCCTTCATTCAGCTGCGCATCAACGAACCACGTCGAGTTCGCCCGTACCGCAGCCCTTTTGGTGTCCCTGGTGCTATCATATCGATGGTCCTGTGTCTTGCTGGAATGATCTCGATCATCTACAGCGGCACGTCCAGCTACGAGTTTCTAGCATCCCTCATCGTTGCGATCGCGTACTTTTCCATCGGTGCCATGTACTTTGTCACTTGCGTACAGCCACGTGCTGTAGCACCGCCTACGCCGATACATCACAATCTGAGCAATGAGGCGGACAGCATCGAGTTTCCGTATCAACGAAGTGGTGTCGGATACACTTAGCGACTTGACCATCGGTCCAAATTGACAAGTTGAAGCATCCAGTCACTTGAACGACACCTGAGCTCTTTTCTGGCCCCACCTGCATCGATGCAGTGTCGTCCGCACGAGTTTCGGGCACAACGGCCAACTTGCTGTCAAGATATCTCACTCAAGTGGTGGAAACTACTGCATGAAGAAGGAGACTTGCTGAGGAAATACAAAGATGCCGACTTTTGCTACCAGAAATATCACACAAATGCACAGCTCGCGATTGTAGATCATGGGCTACTACTTCATGGTACAACAAGTGTGCAACGACAACCTGAAGGTACGGATAAAAGATGAGGAGGAGGACTCTGACGCTAGACGACTTGTAAGGGTGACCGAATACGGGGGCATCCTTAGCATTTCTGGACTTATTTGCTCATTATGAGTATATCTTCACAATGCCTTGACCATGAGAGAGAAAAGAATGCCGGATTTGACGATCGAAGTGATGCGCGTACACCGGAACAAAGTCATGAGTGCGTGCGCTTGTGTTCGTTGTGCGGCAATGCGACGATTGCCAGCATACGTATGGGTTCGAATGACTGACCCTGTTGTAACCGAACCCAATTGTGCAATCGAAGCAGCAGGTCCGAGCGAGTCGATCACACACATACGTGATACGGATACGTAAACCGCGAGGTATGCTCTTCCCGTTCATAAAGCGAAGACACCTTCACTAGTTCCCCTTCTCATCCATCAATCAGAGCGATAGCGAGCTCTTGCAACGCTTTGATGCGAATCGTGTCGCAATGTTCCCATCAGAAATGAAAACAACAGACAACAGCGTGAGGGTGACTCGAACTACGTGTGCTCCAGACAATGTCTACGAGCTCAGGCTGATACCATGTCGTCACTCACCCGGCAGTTCCTCCTAGACTTGATCGGGTCCAGCACGCAGTAGCAGTTGACGCTTCTGCCTACATGAGCATGTGGCATACTTTTACACTCAACCAACTCTAGAGCCCACTACGAACGACTGCTGATGACGCATCGCATTGTGCACTACCTCTGAGTTGCGGTTGACTCAACATTGGTGCACCACTTTTCGCTTTCAGAGCTCGCATCTTCGTCTGCACGCGTCGAATTGCATACCGTAGTTCAGCCGTGCTTACCCACTGCAGCAGTGTACGACTCTGAATCGAGCAGCCGCACATTTGCTTTGTGTGACGCAAGCATGACAATCGATTGGGATTGCACCTGCAGATGACACCCGAGAAGAAAACATTGTGCTTGCACAAGAAGCACTGCCGGACGTCATCCACTTCCATTGACTGCTCGTCCAGCATCACGTCGCCGCTCAACTCTTCCACATTCTGCAGCCCTTCCGCGAGAAAAAGCTTCTTGTAGCCTCTCTCCTCGTGAAACAACCGCCGCAGCTCCCTTAGCAACATTTCACAGTCCGCGACTGAATACTCGTCAAGGTTCTGCGTCGACCCGAAGTGGAACACGAATCGATCGTGTGAAAAGATAGACACTCGTCCGTAACTACGGTACATCTCGACGCACTCTTTTCCGAAGTCAATCCAGTTTGGAAGCACAAAGTTCACAGCTTCGTTGCAATTAAAGCCTTCGCTAAAGCCACAATGGTACGCTTTGGGGAAAGTCAGAATAATCTCTCCAGGCTCCTGGACCAGTGTAAATACTCGCACACCGCCCTCTTGCAAGACCGACGGAGCCACCATGGTAGTCAAATGGAGGAGCAAGTCCGGGCTCTCACGGAATCGTTCAGGCACTTGCGTCCTCATCACAACCTCAAACTTTTCGGCATCCGAGGAAGGAATCCCGTACCATCGTTTCTTGGCACCAAAGTGGTGGTAGTTAATGCTCGACATGTAATTGTCTTCGGCGTGCCAGCAAAACGACGCAAACAACATGCCGCAGTACAACCACGGCACATTGATGCCATTTATTGCCGCACCTAGGTGACGAAGCAGTGAGCCGTACGCGTCCGGGAGGTTGTTCAGATTCCATCCAGTGTTCCGGTAGTACTCTGAGTCGGTGAAGTCAATCACTTCCTTTCCTGCATGTACCGTATCATCAAGTGTCAGTTGCTACGACGACTATAGCAAGTACTGGTACTAACGTTGTGCTATACCTTTTGTTGCCTGAGATGTGAACCGCTTGGCCGAGCGCAGAAACCCGCTGCCGACTTGCGCAATGTTAAGGTCGTTTGCGTACTCCACCTGAATGCAAAACGTCACCGTCCACTCTTAATTTCATCCCTCCTCCATTGCCACCTCCGCCACATGTGTCAAGTAGTACCTCAGTACGAGGTCCACCCGTCTGGACAATGCGCCAGTACTCCTGCTCAATCTCCTCCGACGTCGTGGCTTTCGGATCCAGTTCCCTCGAACGTAACCACTGGTCTCGAAACGCATCAGCCGTTCCCCGGAACGACTTAAACGTGTGCTTCCTGCCTTTGCCATACGCTCGTCCTTCCTGCACCACCACCCAACCACCAGAGAACAGCCCCACGCATTGTCAGCACCTCGTCACGACTCAGCCTCCGCACACGACAAAAGTGGCACGTCCCAACCTGCAGCTCGTGAATCTTCTGCTTCCTCGTGTCAAACAGCACGTGCTCATCTTCCAGATCAATAGCAAAAGTAGGACCCCACCCTCGTGGCGGCACAATCTTGCAAATGCCCGTCCGCGCAGCTCCGTGCTCAATACTACACACAACAACAACAACAACAACAACAACAACAACAACAACAACAACAACAACAACACACACAAACACACAGCACACACACAACATCAGAACAACTCGAAGCACCAACTGGTGACACCTTCACCCTCGACCCCCACACAGCACAACTACACCAACATACAACTCCAACAGCAGCAAAAGCTCCGACTGTACCTGGCAATGTACTTGATCGGGTCAGCAAATTGCTCCCGCGTGGGGTAAAACACAGCTCCATTTGGTAGCGGCACTGGCCGCTGGACTCCTCGTTTTGGTGGCTCGGCCATCGACGTGGCCAACACCAACTTCAACATCTTGTGGACCGCTCGGGGGGCCGCAGGCTCTGCTACGGGCGACGAGGCGCGTCTTTTTTTGTACCGACGGGTGCCGTGAACTGTACCACTTGGAGTGGTACCACCACGGCCACATGGCCGCTGCGGTTCCGACAAGAGCGCGTCTGGAAGAGATGCCATTGAGGCTCGAGGTGGGGCAACGGTCCGTAGTCGAGCGTGGACGACGTGGCAGGTTGTCGAGTGTTCAGTGGTAAGTGTCGGGCGGCACGAGGTGGCGGTCGCAGCAGTAGTAGTACGTTGTTGTTGTTGTTGTTGTTGTTGTTGTTGTTGTTGTTGTTGTTGTAGGAGTACTTGTAACAGTACGATAGTAGTCGTGATAGTAGTCGAAGTCGTAGTAGTGGTCGAACACGGGGTCTAGTCGAAGTAAGTGGTAGTCGTCGTCGAAAGAGAAGGGGGTTGTAGTATAGAGGTTTAGCAGGAGGAGTAAAATGTCGGCAAAAAGTTGCGAGCGGTACGGGTTGACTTGATTTGTGGCCACAGCCGCTGAATGGATAAAACGACGACAAAGCGCCGACTTTTCGCCCCGACGCACTGAAAGTTGGCCGAACGAAACGGCGGGGTACGGTAATACCGGTACGTGACCCATCACACGGAATACCTGCGGAGAAAAAAAACGAAGAAGAAGAAGAAGAAGAAGAAAACGGCCAGACACCATCTGCAGCCCCCTCCCCGTTTCCGAAGTCTCTCGGATTTATGTGAGCAAGTACGACACGACAACCTCTCGAGTCGAAACGATAGGGCGAAAAAAGCACTTGATACGACACAGCTCGAACGAACGAACGTCGTACCTCTGCACAGCGCCCGAAGGAGCCATCGAACAGGGTAGACATGTTTCTGTCATTTTGGTTGTCGTAGTCGACGGACCGTTGAAGACCAAGTGCTGGGCAAAGTGCTGTACTTTTAGATCGTCGAACGAGTGTTCCGGTCGATGAACGTGATCGAAGTAGAAAGCACGAGCGAAGAATGCAAAAACTTTTGTTATTTGACTTGTTAATACGTCATGATAGAGCACGCCGTGGGTATCTCGCCGAGCAACAAAGTTGTTTACAAGGCCGAGACCTATTTCGTCACAGTGGAGCAGAGAGAATACTGGGAGACAGATGATGCAAGCCTTCTTACATCCTTTTCACAAGACTAAGGTCTGAGCAACGATTGATGCAATTCGCAATATGCTGCGCACAGACAGAGATAGGAGCACTGGCATTGAGTCGGTTTGAAACACGCAAAGCCTCGATGCGAAGGATACTCCGTGGAGTCAATGACGAGTCGTGCTCGTGCTTGCGCTGCGGCCAATATAGGCTGCGCTGAATCATTGCCCTTGTACGCACCTTGAAACTGGAGCGGTGGACTGCAGGATTTAGCTCAAGAGTAGCTCTATTGCATTCCATGGGCACAATGGCAAGCTTTATTCCACACAGCCACATCAAGCGATAGCAAATTCACTCGTCCCGTTCCGATTCGAGTGACTTACGGACTTACTTGCAGTCGTACCATCCAAATCAAGTCGCGAGTCGCGCGACTCTAGTGTTCATTTGCAGTCCACTGGCAACAACAAGCACGGGTGCTAGGGTCCATGGCATTTGTAAGCAATCGAATGAGCGCGCAAAAACACGGCAAACATGCGTTTGTTCTTCACGTTTTCAAGTGGTTGCAGTCAAGCTCAAGTCCATCCAGGCCTCGGCTCCTTTTCTCGCGGCACCTTTCTTATGCGGCAACCCTCCCTCGCGATAACTGTCGCGAATGAGGTCGCCCTCTCGAGCGTGACCGAAAGTGACAAGCCACATATACAATCACTGAACTCGGCTGAGTACCAACGCTACTGCTATCCATCCAGTCATACAAATTGCCAGACACCCTGCGACCACTAACTGTCCAGTCGACACTTTTGCCTTTTTTTCGACTGTGGTCGTACGTGACAATCAGCACGTGTGACCTCGAAGTGATCACTCATCGTCCCATCGCACGCCATCGTACTTAGCTACGGTACCGCAGCTCTCTCCGCATACGTATCTCGACGAATCCCACGCGAGCCGACGTCGTCACGGTTTGTCGTTACGTTTGTATACTTGGCGGTTAGACGCCAGCGCCTGTTGTCTTCGATCTTTTCCGTCGAAAAAAACGGTTGGGCACATACTGCACGCGAGTCAAAATATTCGGCGGTTCGCGCCACGCTGCGACTCACATCGGTATCTATCGCCACTAGCTCACGAGCTGTGTACCTACAACAACAACAACTACTACTACTACTGATAACAATAAAAAACATACGCATCATCGTAATACTTCAATAGTCTTGACATTGAGATCGATGCAAGGTCAGTCAAGTAGGAGCAACTCGGAGTTGCTACTGCATCACCAGAAGCTCCAAAAAGAGCGCAAACCTGTGAGCAAGTGGACCGAAAAAGAGGATTGCTTGATGCTCAAGCTTGTGCACAAGTACGGCACGCGTCACTGGACGGTCATTGGCACGAAGTTGCCGGGACGCAGTGGGAAGCAGTGCCGGGAAAGGTAGTGCAATGACCATCATTGAGCTTCGAGATGAAATGCCATGCTGGAAGCTGGACAGACGTAGATACTGACTGCTGTTGATCGTTGCTGAACGGTTTAGGTGGCACAACCAGCTGGACCCAGCCATTCGAAAAGAGCCGTGGACAGCTGAAGAAGAGCTCATTCTCAAGGACCTACACGATAGGTTTGGCAACAAATGGGCCGACATTGCCAAGATGTTACCGGGACGGACGGACAACTCGATCAAGAACCACTGGAATTCCCGCAAGCGACGACACAAACGGGAGATCGCGCCACCGAAGACACTGCAGCGTAAACGTCACGAGAGGACCGTATCGGAGACCGTAACTTCAGGAAGCATTTTAGCACTCGCGTCGCCAGCGTCAGTGGAAGGTCACGACATGTACACACTTCCAACGCTGGTGTCAAATCACCAGGTCGACTGTGCAAGTCCGCATGTGAATGCATTTTTCCAGTCCCCGCTTGCGATCCAAACGGCACCTCATGGTGATCCACACAACAAAGCTGTATGCTGGACGCCAACCGATGCAGCATACAATCGCCCGAATACCGCGTGGAGTGTGCCTGCTGCAATGCCGAACTGGACTTCGGACGATCGTATCCATTTTCTCAGCACAGCGACAACGATCGAGCCACGAAGCACCAAGCTGACATCAGATGATCGAGTACCCGTGATGAGTGGCGAGGGTCTCATGGAAGTCCCGGGCGAATCTGGAGAGAAGACGTTGTCACTCAATGCAAGAGAGACGAATCAGAAGAAGGATGATCCATCGCTGGAGATTCTGGCCAATGCTGCACTACTGCAAGCGATTGGCCATGTGGTGTAGGCTGAGTGGATAGTGTTTGTGTTTCCGCGTGAGATGGCAGTCAGACCGCGATGGACAACATACAATGACTGCCCTGTTTTAATGGTACTTTAATGACGTCGTTATCTGGTAAGCTTTCTCGTGCACGTACATTGGCATGTTTCTTGAGCGAGCCCCATGCAACGATGTCAGCTACTCAGATTTCTACCACCGCACGAAGAGCGTACAAGATTCTATGGCAAAGCCTGCATCACGGCGGGTGTAGCCGTGATGGATGTCAATGCATTTCTGCCAGTATCAACACAACTCATACATTTCTTCGCCAATGCGCTCATTACAATAGGTTCTGTATTCATGCGGGTTCAATACGGGATGCAAGTCAGCGTACGAGTGCGTATGGGCTCCGCAACGTATCGGGGCGATTAAGCTGTCCGACGACGTTGGCCGTCTGGATCGAGCACCGCCGCGCTGTCACGTCGATGTTGCTATTATTTGCGAAATGTATCACTACCTTTTATCGCATGAGTGTGTTTATGTGTGTAGATGTGTTGCACTCCCGTGTTATCCTTTCCCGATATGATTTCTCTATTTTTAAAACGTGTCCATTAGGTATAATTGGAGTAGTGAATACATTCCATCAAGTATGCCATGTCCCTAGATGGCGGTTGCAGTGCGTCGATTTCGAATGTCGCCGGTGGTAATTTCAGAACTATTATCCGCCCATAGGACGTAATCTCTATTTGGGTGCTTTTCGCAAGCCTGGAGAGTATTGGTACATGGGTAACGGGTAATTTATATAGTGTAAAAATCAGAGTCGACATTTTCGTATAACGCACGTTTAAAAGACGTGTATTCTCCTTAATTTTGCTTGTAATCCCTTTATGCGTAAAATAGTTAGAAGAACGTATTCTTGTCACAGACCCCCTGTCTTTACGTGCCCGCCCTAGGTAATTAAGTGCGGTTAGGTTCGAGATTAGTTACACATTAACGATATGCATATAGCTACGGCCCTTGATACCAGTAGGAAGACGGGATGTTAGTAGACAAATACACGTGTTTGGATCGCACCTTTCAATACCAAAATTGTCTACGGTGAACGAGTGCTACAGCCAAACGGATTAGCTTCTTTGGTCTTCTTCGCGGTATTACGATCCACCTTCTTTGTGGATTCTGGTATTTTTGATTTGATGTCAGCGTCTTATAACTTGATAGACCTACTGGAAATTAAAAGCGCTACTAAGTGAGCTTAGATTTGCCTCAAACATTGAATTATTCGTTTCTTCCAGTAATCTATCGAGAAACAGCATCTATAGGATCTCGTAGAGACAGAACTAAAGCTAGCGATGTTGTTCATAAACACGTCCTCAGAGATGTCAAAGGATCGAGCTGCGCTACTGGCGACGTTTAGTAGATTCCTTAAGAATGTTGTCTATCATTGTTATCGCGGTTTATCAGCCGAGACTCTGTAATTCTGACTCCTGTAAACCTACACGATATTGTATCATTGCCTTTTAAGACCAAGTCAGCTCACTTCGCTTTGCTGGAATAGCCGATGAAGATGTGGTGATGGGCTCTTCGAAAATGGTGCACCTGAAGACCACCGGATTGAAGGAACAAGGGATAACCATTCAGGGAAAGGGTACCAAGGAGAAAGGAGTCAAGAAAGCAACGAGACCCTCGGAGGACAAGAATGTGCAGGATTAGTTAGAGGAGATCATGGCCAAGGTACCAGATAAATGACACATATCGGAGTAGATCACGGACCCTCATTCGTAGACAACCCTACGACCTTGGTCCCTCATCGGTACACTGCGGTCCCTCGGTATAGACCTCGACCCCTCGTTGTTGGACTCGGTCCCTCACCAGTAGACCCCGGTCTCTCGAGGTAGATCTCGGTCCCTGATCCGCAGATCCCGGCCGCTCGAAGCCTGTCTACTCATGACCAGTAAGATAAAGAGTCGGAGCACTGGTCAAGAAAGCTAGAGTATTGAAGAAGTTCAAAAAAATGACTATATCGAATACTACATACTTTGCGATCTACGTTGCACGTCCTTGTCGTCCTCGAATGAACAACTGGTTAATTCTGCTCGCCTGTTCCGGGGAAGGGGTACATTTTGGCTCCCGTCGTAGACAGCTACGTGTCAAAACCAAGTGCAGGTCGAAGAATCCAAGCAAGTGTTGGCCTGTAGGTTCGTCGAGTAGAACCCTCCTCAAAATCCGCGATTGGAAGAGGCCTCCCTACCTAGCGGTTAGGGAGCAAGGTAAAGGCCAGGTGTTTCATACCCCTGTGATTGATTGAAAGACCAGGAGAGACAAGCTACCTGTGGTATTTAGCTGTAAGCCCACTCTCGACCGAGTTGATCGAGTGGCCACCTACTGGTCCACCGAGTGAATCATATCCACCTGGGGATCAAGACCTACCTCTGCCAATGCCAACACATCTCTGGTTTCGTCCGGGTCTACATAAGAGTGAAACCTGCCAGCCGACGGGTACACAAGGTGAATAATGGTCTATATGCGGTGTCGGGGCACCCTTCCCCCGCCCTTAAGTCGACAGTCCGAAACAGTGAATGTTTTGAGGATCATCACGCGGTTCGAGACCCCACTCCACCACACAATTGTCTTTATATACTTTTGATGCACAAAGTGTTCATGGTTGCGCCACTACTAAAACTCCGCGCCATCTACTTTATATTGATACAGGGATGGATATGTGACAACATAGTCTTCTCTGTCCGTTTTCTTGAACTGAAAGTCTTAGCGAGAAAATTTTATTTCTACATCATATAGGCCTCCCGGGAACACACCACTCCATCAATGGATCGTTCACGTTTGCTTAATAACATATGATATAGTTATAAACACTTCAGCTAAATTGCAACGGGACAACTTGCTGCGCTCCTGCCATATTAGAGGTGAGCTTCTTCCATTGAAATCTGAATGAAGTTCGTTTTCTTTTAGACCTTTGATATATAGGATCGCGCATCCGCGAGACAATAACATCATTTAGCCCGAGTTCTAAATTATTGCCTCGAGCGATAAAGGGAGGGAACTACAATTTTGCTACATAAACCCTTAGATTCTTGGTGCTGTAAAAATAAGATAAGGTATCAAGCCATATTATGACCGAAGACCAGTTTGTGGCTGATAATCGGCAGTAGCCAATCAAATACTAGAGCTGACATCTCTGAGCGATCTGATTAGCTTCTTTAACGAATGGGTCAGTTTATCGCCGCACGCACGCCTCAAAACCAGGTTGACCACATACTGGAACAAGGCACGATGAAGAAGAGAAAGGTCTATAGCCAAGACGATCTCGCGAAGGCTGTCCGTGCTCGAGAATGTGGTATGTCGTGGTACAACGCTCACGAGTTATTTCCCACGCCCCCCAGAAAGAACGACCCGCCGCCGCGCTACCCAACAGCGATCTGTTGTGATAATAAGAAGACCTGGACCACTGCCCGTTCTTTGCCAAAAAACAGAAGACGACCTCCAGACATGGATCGTAGGGATGAAGCGAGAGGGTCTCCCTGTTAAGCGACAGGTGGTACTTAGCAAAGCAAACGAGGCGTAACGCGTGTTGTACCGTCCCGCGCGATTGGCTGGCATCTTGAGCGACGGATGAATCAAGCGAGTCTTTTCCGTCTCCCTAATCTTTCACTCAAAATCAGTATAGGTGATTTCTCGCGCACGCTACCGAGTCGTGCAAGAAAAAGTCAACCAATACTGAATCAGCTAATTGAGCACGCGATAGAGCGCAAACTAATCAACGACCGTGTTTTCTAATATGGAAGAGACGAGATTTGATCAGAAATCGAAGTCAATGAAAATCATTGCTGTGCGTGGGTCGAAGAAGTTGTGGACAAAGTGCATCAACGTGATCTTCCACCTGACGCTAGTCGTCTGTGTTAATGCCTACGGATCGTGTCTACCGCCACTATTTCTACTTTCATGCCAACGTTTGAATCGTGAAATCGTGAGTGAGTGATCCGTTGTTGTTGCTACAATTGACGTTGCTCCGAAGGCGTTCATAAACCAAGCTATCTTCGTCAAGTTGTTGTATTACTTTGCAGCAAGCGTACACAGAAGCGTCATCCCAGTCACTGATGCTCATCTAAAACAGTTGTGCAAGCCATTACAGCAAGACATAGTTGAGAAGTAGATCGAGATGAGGATTATTCTATTTCTTCTTCCTCCAAACTCCACACAATCTTGTAGACTTTAGATGTATCTGCTTTCAATCCCTTCAAGATCAGCCTACGTCTCTCCATGGACCGCTTCATGATCGATGAAGATGTGTCGAGCTCGACAAAGAAACATGCGATATCATATTCATCAAGCGCGTGACAAAAGGATGTGCTTGTCAAGCCAGATTATATAAAGTTTGGCCAATCTCAGCACCCAAAATGCGTGCACGAAGAAAATTGTACGACTATGGAGGTGTTAAGAACAGAAGTGCACTAAGATACCCGGTGTGGCTTGCAGTTCAAAAATAGCTCCATACGGAGGCACTCTTCCTTGCCAAGCCGTCAACAATGGAATTGAAATCGCAACACTCAACATGATTGATCTCATCATGAATCAAGAACTGTTGCGACAGATCGAGTAATACAATTGTATTTTGTATTACATTTATAACGACCATAAATCGACACATTCGTGAATGATCCAGTATTTTTGCCTCTTTGCTTTGTTCCATAACTTTCGTATAGTTAGTTTTATTTGCATAATATAAATTGATGCAACGGATATCCACGGTATTCCTATTTCGTTAAGCTACTACAAAAAAACAAAATAAACAAAAAGCGAAGTCAACATTAAGTATATTAGCTAGTGTACACGAATCCCGGCCGTAAATCGGTCTCATACTTTATCCACGGTTTGTGTCGTCTTCATCAGCAATTTTGCGGTGCTGTTGTACTTAACATGGATTGAACGAGCGATCCGCTAAAGTATGATTATTTCTATGAAGACGCATTTTCCAAATTTCGTCACAATATCATCGTTCAGTTTCAAGTTGT